ACACACACACACACACACACACACACACACATGAAGATGCGCGCACGCGCTCCACACACAGCCACCAATTTGCAATCAACTACTGCTCTTTCAGGACACGTGTCCATCTCAAAGACATTCTCATGCATACATATACATATTATAAATGAATACATGTGTGTGTGTGTGTGTGTGTGTGTGTGTGTGTGTGTGTGTGTGTGCGTGTGTGTGTGTGTGTGTGCGTGTGTGTGGGTGTGGGTGTGTGTGTGTGAGAGAGAGAGAGAGAGAGAGAGAGAGAGAGAGAGAGAGAGAGAGAGAGAGAAACAGGGAGAGAGAGAGGATGTGGGGCCCTGAGAGGGTTAAAATCGTGCCTGGACAGAGGAATCGAGTGAGGGGGTCTATCCACGAAAGGCAGGTTGGAAAAAAAAAAAGGAAAGAGGCATCCCTTATGCTGTGTAAATTCCGTATGTGTGTGTGTGTGTGTGTGTGTGTGTGTGTGTGTGTGTGAGAGAGAGAGAGAGAGAGAGAGAGAGACCTCTACCTCTCTCTCTCTCTCTCTCTCACACACACACACACACACAAAAAAAAAAAAAAAAGAAGTATGGTAGTGTATATTTCCATCTTCTACTGGGAGATTCATTCATCTCCCGTCAAGCTTTTTCGACAGCGCATCCAATCACACAGCAAGAGAGATTTGGTCCAAATTGGGGAAAGAGAAAAGAAAAGAAAAAATATGCGCCATCAGCGAGTGTTGCTGTGGGCCACGGCTACGCAGGTCCACTTGTTGCGTTGTAAAAGCTGCAAGGCCCACCATGTCCATGTACTCAATCATGAGATACATACACAGCAAAGGCATGTATGCAACTGGATAGGGTCAACACATACACGCGCGCGCGCGCACGCACACACACACACACACACACACACACACACACACACACACACACACACACACACACACACACACACACACATCCCCATGCACACACTCATAGGGAGAGAGGGAGAGAGAGAAACTATTTCGGGAAAATCATGTTTTGAAATGCCAAGGACAAGAGAAGACCCTTCTCTTCATATGATTCGACTGCATTCTACCTCCCATCTTCACCGCTGCTGAAAAGTCAAACCATGAATGCGTGATTATAGTGAGCTTGCTCTGTTTGACTTTCAATACCGTACAGTCACTTTGTTTCCTTCTTGTCATTAATGGGCAGCTGCCACTTCTAGAGCATCATGTCACTGGGCGGATTACTATGTCATTGCACTGTACATTCTAAGGAATTGGGAGCTGAATGCAGGCCGAACAGGCAGAGTCACAATAACAATGTGGCTGTGTAGATGGGTTGGATGCACATCATACTTCTTTGTACCTCCTTGTCTAGTAGCCGATACGGCTTCCTCCGCAGGATCAGTGGTACCAGCCTCATGTGCACGGTTGGCACAAGTTCGATCACCTTCTGTAGGGCCCCATGTAGCTTTTCACACACTTCCTCCTTTCGCGCAAGGCAATCCTCTTGCGAACTGGTAAATCCACCTGCAAGTGCAGCAGCACTGCCAGGAACTCGACCTGGTAAGAAGAAGTTGGAGATGAGCCATTCGAGGCACAATTGCACACAACGTCCATTCGCTGAGACCTGAAATGTGAAAACAGAACAACAGAAACAAGTGTAAAGGTATTGAGTTATTACCCGCCGGATCCACAGCATACAGAATTCCCTATCTGGCCCAGTTTCAAATTGTCTCAGATTGCCTCTACCCCGGATCCACATGTTGCAGAATTCACTATCTGCCACAGTTTCACATCTCCGAGGTTCCCCCTCTGTGCCTATTCCAGATGTTCCTGGTTCCCTATCAGTCCCTGTTTCACATCTCCCAGGTTCACTCTCTGTACCAGTTCCACATGTTCAGGTTCCTCCATGTCACTGCTCCACATGTTCCAGTTCCCCTGTCCGTTCCTGTTCCACATATTCCACGTTGCCAGCCCCTGTGCTATACATTCGACCCTGCATGTCCTTTCCGCGTGCCCCAATGTTCATTGTCCTTACCACTCGTCATACATATTTCCCTCACTCTGTGCCTTACTATCCCAACATGCAAACTGCTCACAAAGCACGATAAAGTGTAAAAAGCATCCAGTCACATCAGCAAGTTCAGAACATACCAAGTGAATAGTGAACTCAAGAAGTGCATCTTGCACCTCACTGCTGCATTTCCAGAGGCTCGGCTTGAACATCTGCACAAGGAATTGGAAAAAGACAGAAACAGACATATGTGAGTATGAGAGGGACAGAGGGCACAAGGAGAGGTACTACCGTCGTCTCCACCCGAATAGAACGTGCAATAATTATAGCTGTACTTGCAGTTTTCAGCCTACATACAGCAATAATGACCAGCCATTCTATTCAGGTGAAGGTGGTAGTGTTGACAGATGCACAATGATAGCTAGCCCCTGACTAACGAGCTCAAAACTGAAATTAGGGTTCGGGGCAGGGTTGCATACCACTACGGTTGGCGACCTTGACTGGTCAGCTGGTCAGCACCTACTGGTCAGGAGTCGTCGGCACCCCGCAAAAAAAAAATACATATATTTTGGGTCCAGAACCCCCAATAACCCACCAACATCCCCATACCTGCCCCCAACCAACACCCCCAAACCGCCCCCCAACACCCTCATACCCCCCCCCAATACCCACTATGCCACCCCTATACCCCCCTGTATCCCCCACCTCCCCAAAAGGTTTTCAGCGGATTTGGGCTGTACTCAGCAAGCGCAGTACAGCCCCCAACTCAGCTTTGGAAAAGAATCAGCGCATGTTTTTTTTCTGACTGGTCGGCAGACCGCCAACAGGTCGGCCCTACTGTCGGCTGCAAAACGGTCAGCGGTCAGGATCAGCATTCGGCAGGTATGCAACCCTGGTTTGGGGGTGAATTTTTTTGTGTTTTTTGTAACTTTTTTTTCTTTTTGCCTGTTTTTGTTTTAGGTAAAGTATGGTGTTCACTCTATGTATGGGTGACAAGTTTGATTAAAAAGGGCTTTGGGCTTGCTTATAAATTGCATGACAAATTTCTGAAACCTTAACCGTGAAAGGCCTTCCACGATTCAGCCCCCAAATTCGAATTTCAGGGTCAAGGGCCTAGGCCAAGAAAGGCCAAGTCGATCAGTTTCAGAGAAGTCACAGTCAGGTACGTTAGGAGTCAAGTCCTACAGGCACCCGGTGAACAGTCACATCCCAGGGGCAAAAGTCACGTCTCATATTGAAGAGTCATATTGAAGAGTCATATTGAAAAGTCACGCTCCACAGGCAAAGGACAATTTCCCAAGCAAAAGCCGTGTCCCAGAGGCAGGAGTCACAACCCACAGTCAAAAGTCATGTTTAACAGGTGAAGAGTCGTGACTCCCAGGCCTAAGAAGCAGCACACCAATGAAAATTAGGGAAAGGTACCAGGCCCTAACATTCTGAAGAAAACAGGCCATGGGGATGTGGTACCAGTGCCAAGTCAAGCCACAAGAGGCAGAGGCTGGGACGAGCTGAAGCTCAATCCAAGTCAATATAAGGACTGGCCAGCCTCCTCATTCGGGCAGATTGCTCATTCGCATGAAGTGTGGAAGTGCTGGTGCACTTGTGCGCTATTGCGAGGAGCAAAGCGCTGAGCCAGGGAGCTGCAGTGTGTGAGGGAGAGAGAGAAAGCAGCCATAACTGCCCCAGCGCTGGCAGAGGGAAGGCAGCCATAGCTGCGCCAGTGCTAGTAGTTAGTCATAGATCTCAGAAAGTCAGCAGTGGGTGTATTTAGAGTTGGTCCTTGAGTGGTAGAGAGTGCGAGTGCATGCAAGTAGGGAGAGAAGACACAGGGAGGTAGTAGACAGAGAGAAGACCAAGAGGGATGACAGAAGAGCAGTGGGAAGAGACATCCACCTGAGTGAAGATATTGGTTATTTGGATCTGCGCTGTTGAGCGCTTGTGACTGAAACTCTTGATTGCTCACATGATAACTTGTTGGAATTCTAACGCTGTGCTTACGTGGTCTTCTTCTATCTCGCCCCCAATGTGAACTTTGTGTGATCTCATTTGTGCATGGTGTGTGACTGTGTGCACTCATTGGTGGTGAACTGAGAGGCTCATTGCAACCGCCCCTCGAGCAAGATGGTAGGGCAGTTGTTTCTGTCCTCTGGACTGGATCATGGCTAGCTCTCATCTTCCACCGAATAGAAAGCATTGCACGATTATCTACTGTCTGTTGTCTTTAGTTTAAAAAGAATTGTGGTGAACACATAGCCCTTGTGATAATGCATTTTACTTGAGGGAGTATGGTAATTACCATTCTCGGTGCCTTTTCGTCCTGCCCCACTTGCCATCTTCCCCATCCACTATATTTCCCACTTGGTAACTAACAACACTTTTTCTGGCAACCAGTTGGGAACCACTTGGTTACTACTTTGCAACCACTTGGCAACAACGTGGTAACCACTTAGAAACCACTTGTGCGAGGCTCTAGGCCTCGACACGCCCTACTGGGCCCTATTTTTCTGTACAGTCGGCCGCCCTAAGTGAAGGCAGGTTCGACTAAGGCCTACAGGCCCATTCTGGGGTCACCACGCAACTGGGGAAATTCAGGCAGTTGCGCAGCGCCAGTTGGTTGAGAGCGCCCAGACCCAGGCTGCCTCTTTCAAATGTAACTGAGGCAGGCCCTGGGCCAGATTCGCAACATGGACCAAATCACAGGCCGCGGGCAGTTGAACACGGGCAATCACCACAGCCCCAGGGCCTGATTCGTTTGGACTGGGGCTCAGCCTCTCTGGGCCTACCAGAAGCTTCTGGGCAGGGGCCCAGCGCAGCCAGGCTGCACGCAAGCAGGCAGGCCACTTTCATTTAGGGAAGTGCCTGCCCACGCATTCCGCATTCGGGCACTGGCTGCATGCTGCGCAAGCACTGCTGTGCTAACGCTGGCCAGCGCTCATGCGCTCACGGGCAAGCTGGAAGGAGCAGGCAGCCATAGCCGAGCTGCGCTGCTGTATGCCGGATGGGGCACATGGTGGTCCTTGGGTGTATGTGGCATCTGTGAGGGGATCGAGGTTGTGAGTGATACGAGAGACATACCTGGTGCTTGAGGCGAACGGCATTGGCCGAGATCTGCTCGTACTTCGGGGAGCTGTTGACGTCACCAGCGGCATTGTAGATAGGCTAGATAGGATCTGCCATTTGTAGTCTGGGCGACGAGCGGCAGATAGGATGTCGCCATTGGTTCTTTGTTGATGATGATGAGATTATTCGAACATTGTCACTTATGAGCTTTTGCTGTGCTCTTATTTGGTGGGAGTCGTGATGCAATTCTGCTTTTGGTTCGAGGCCACGACTATCTGGTCTCATGTTTATGATGCTGTTTGGTTTCTGAAGTTAGCTATCGCCTGAGTGAGGACGCCGCCCGGCCGGGCATGCCCTGCCGGTTGGGCCCGGGGGGTCCGCCCGGGTAAACCGGGCAGGACAAAAAACCGCCCAGAATTGTTTTTTTTTTTTTTTTGAAACCGGGGTCGTTCTGCGCTCGGCGAGAGGACCCCGAATCTGGAATGAAATTTTGGTTTTGGTGTGGGGATGGGGGGGTTGGTCTGGGGTTGGGGGGGTGTCTGTGATGGGGCGCAGATGCATTTTTTTCTTCTTTTTTTTTTTGTAAGGGGTGTGTGTGTATACAAAGGGGAGAGAGAGAGAGAGAGAGAGAGAGAGAGAGAGAGAGAGAGAGAGAGAGAACGGCTCCCCTTAACACGGCTCAGACGGCCCATGCAGGCTATCCGAAGGGTCCTCGCAGACATGTAGCGCAGACCCCCCCACCAAAATTGAGGCGGGTAGTGAATATGAAATAGAGCACGAGCTGGCCGAATATGTAGTCAAGTTTCGAATTCAGGTCTGTGTTTCAGCAGTTATGGGTTGCTCACGTAGCTAGCGCCTGTTGGTCTCTGTACATGACTCTTAGGGCTTGACTGCACTACTCACGAAATGTACAAAATTAGAATGAATCTTCTGCAGAACGTGGAATAATACGCCACCATATGTTTTGTCTTTCGTGCATTTGGTGAGTGAAGGCCCTTAGGGCCACTGCACRTATTCCTAAGAAAAGAAAAACGAGAAAAGAAAAGAAAAGCGCAAAAAGGGAAAAATGGTGACCCATAACCGACCTGCACAGACCTGAATCAGAATCCAGACTATATATACTCTGGCCACCCTCAGGGAGTATAAGGTTGAAGTGTATCTCTGCATGACATCGGGTCCTAGCTAATATGCTCCAGGGATCCTTTCGAAAAGAGGCTGAACACAACGAGGACATTTTTGTTTTTCTATTTTTTTAATGCGCCGCATCACTTGTGTGTGCGTGCATGTGCGCGCGGCACCCCGCGCATGAGCTGCAAGTATGATTCAAACACATCTCTCTCTCTCTCTCTCTCTCTCTCTCTCTCTCTCTCTCTCTCTCTCTCACACACACACACACACACACAAACACACACACACGCACACACACACACAAACGGG